TTAGAAATGTTACCTCGTGCATTAATTGATGTCTTAAGACAATTTCTTGAACTAACTACAACTAATAACAACAGTAATCAGTGATGTTGTTTATTATATTGTTATGATTGATTGTTATCTCTCTTTTTTTTTTTGTTTTGTTTTTGTTATTGAAAAAAAAAAAAAAAAAAAAACTTATTTTTTCGAACAATGTCGTTGTTTTTTTTTTTTTCTTTTATTAGAAGGAAATTGAACTATCTATTTGTCTTTTCTCATTGAGTTCAGCTGTCAATAAGTATATACATGTTTTTCGATTAAGGATTTCCCATAGGAGACTATTCAAAATTCTTGTCAGTAGTATTTTCTTTTTAACGAGAAACTAAGAAAGAAATCATCTAGTCAACTAGTTACTTTTAATTGAGAAGAAGAAAAAAAAAACAAGAAAATTATTGTTTAAGTTGTTTTAAAGAGTATGATACATTATCTTGAATTCATAGAGAAATTAGGTTTTTTTTTTCCCAATAGACCGGAGTGTACGAAAAAGCTTATTTTAGTGGTGTGTTCAGGAAGTATGAAGTAGATCTATTGTTTAGAAATGACATTGGTATTCATTTCTTTGCCACAGCATGCTCATTATTTCTTTTCTTTTTTTTATATCTAAATATGTCCTGTTAATCTGAAGTATCTGAAAAGACAATCAACTCTATTGTATAGCATTCTTTTTTCTTTGTTTTTTTGCGTATCTTCTATTGACTAAAATATTTGCCAAAATAACGTAGTTTCTTTTTTTCCTGTTGATCAAGTTTATCAAATAGGAAACGTATAATATTGAATACGTTCATAATTCAAGTAAAAAAAAAAAAAATATGTTTTTATCCTTAGGCTAATCAATTCATTTCGGATATTTTATTATTAAAATGAACAATTTATTTATTTTTGTTTCTTTTTTAGATATTCTCATTGATCTTAATCTGTCATTCTGTTTATAATATTCTTTCGTTCTATTTGGTGATTATCTTAAGTATCATTTTGCTTTTGACTAATAATCATATTTTTATATTATATCTTATGAGTGTCAATAAAGTCCATAACAATATTGGAATATTAGAATAACATTCTTTTGTATTAACTTAAGCCAAGCTTAAATTTCCTATTTTTTTTTTGCGCAGTACTGTCGAAGGATAATTACTAATTGAATTCTTTTTGCATAGAAATGTTTTGGTCTTAGAAAAATAAATAAATAAAAGCATATGAAATTGAAGTTTGATAGATATCTGTCAAGACAGAAGACAAAAAAAATACTAAAAAAAATAATGTAATAAATGTTGCCTCTTGTTATTACATATCCTTAATTCCCTACGTCCGATGTTTTTGTAGCGTTTTATAAGCTAAAACTTATGTAACTTATCAAACTGAATGATATGAAGATTAGATTTTATTCGTGTAAATTATTAAAAATCTTTGGTATTAAACATCATGCGTCATTTATTTGATAATGAAAAGGAAATACATGAAAGATTTTTCCCATTTCGATTAGAGCTATTTTTTTTTTTTTTCTTTTGGTTTAGCCTTGGTGTCTATAATAGACATACTTATTTAGTTCTTTTCCATATCTATATGAAGATGAAATTAAGGCGAAGTTTTGGGTTATCACCTCTGTCTATGTGAATAGATAGTACTGACTTGTCTACGTCCAAGGGTCTTATTCTTTTTTTCCTCCGAAGTAAAGGAAAAAAAAAAAAAAGCAAAAGAAAAACCACATCAGAATAAAGAATTCAGAGAAGCTTTTTCTTTTCTTTTTTTTTCCGTTCTCCAACGTTTTTTTTTTTCTGATTTATGCTAATAGATTTCCTTGCTTTATTGGTCTTCGTCTTGTAAGAAGCAAGCAGAACTAACATCGCTAGTAGAACGAAGAATGAAGAAGAATTTTGCCAAGCTAAAAAAAAAAAAAAAGAATAGAAAGAACAAGTAAATGGATACAGCCCCCCAACTGGTGCTTGTTGCTGTTCGTAGTAGCCATTCTTTTTTCCCATTTGTCAATTATCAAACTAAGATTTAGGCTATCACCTTTATTATGAATGCGAATAAAAAAAAATATTCACAGTTTTCTTTATTATTCTTGAATTAAATAAATAGAATTTGCTCTACATCTACATACATATATATATATATGTATAGATCTGTATTTTTTTTTTTGAAATATTTCTAGATAGTTTCAACGCTTGATCGACTTTGTTTTGTTTTTTTTTTTTGGTAAGAAAAAAGTATTTTTTTTTACGAGTATTAATATCAGTAAAATGGCAATTTTTTTTCCTATGTGATCTCATTATATCTATACTAATAATTTAACATTTTTTTCACATAATTGTTACTCTATAAAGAATATAGATAAATAAACAATGAAATCATCTACTTTAGGGAAAGACTGAAGAAAAATTGAATACATTTTCTCATACAAAATAGTTAGTAAAGAATGCAATGTATGATGTGGATAACAACAAAACGATTGGAATACTCATTCATACAGCATTAAATTAGATAACTATATTCATATATATATAACATAGCGAACTCTAAAATGATTCAATTGTCTTCTTTTTCGTCGAAACTAAAAAAAAAATGATTTTCTCGTCGCAATTTTTTTTTTTTTATTACGGCACAAAAACAACCGATTGAGAATGTGTCTCTTTACTGTTATTGTTGTTTTATGTCGCTATTTGCAGGCTATTGCTGATTATAAATGATAAGAAACATGAATAGAAAATAGACATGTCGGAGAAAAAAAAACCGGAGTAAGGCCCTGTATTTTTTTTTTCCCGTTATTGTCTGATCATTATTGTTATTTTTCTAATGATAATTTTCTTTCGTCTTAATTTAGAAACGAGACTATAAGCGATCAAGCAAAAACATGAGATCGTTAAAAAAACCGACAATATAGCAACAAAAAAAAAGAATAATTGCTAACAGTCATTCATGTTTGTTTCTATCAAGGGACTCTCACTCACTATACTAATATTCTTCGTCTTCTTTTTTTTTCCTTTTTTTTTTTCTTTTCTCGCGGCGTTTCTTCATTGTATGTATATGACGTGAGTGATTTTGCTTTTTTCACATAGACAAGATATATATATATATATATAAGGCGACAGCAAACAAGATTTGCGGTTCTTTTTTTCATCCATTTATTCATGCAACTTACCATACTTTCAAGTCTAAACCATCGTCATTAACAATATGCTGTAAGTAACATATAAACAACAGTACTACAAGAGATATTAATAAGTTAATGAAATTCTTATTTAATGTTAGTGTTACTAATGAAATAAAACTTGGAAGTATTAAGCACACCTCTTGTCACTTTTATCATGTGCACATTATCTCTCACTCTAAGAAAAAGAGCCGTAATCACCCGAAGTAATATACTAAATCGACCGTAATATATATATATATATGTATGTGTACAGGTGAAGAGTAAGATGAAAAAAACAGATTATACAGCCATTCTTCCTAGTCATGCCTCGATAGGTATTCGATGTATACTTTATACACATTAACACTATATAAGGGCCATCTGTGTCGCTTTCATAAGAATGAGACAATTTAATCAACATTTTTATTACTTTTTCTTTTTTTTTTCTATTTCAATGGATAGACAATATTTCTATACGATTCATATTTGCTTTTTAATGATTTATGACACAGCTGTTGTTATGTTCTTTAGTATGTATTTTGTATTGATGGTAGATTGTTAGAACGAACAGTCTGTTGTTTATAAGAAACAAGACGACAAGAAAAATATCATATGATATGTTTAGAATATGGATAAGAAATACATTAATATTTTGTTTTTGACAAGAATTAAATAAACAAAAAAAAAAGAAAAAGAAAATATCATTCAGATTTTTATGAGTTTGTTTGATTTTTTTCGTCTTCTTATAATTAAAATATAAAATATTGACATGAATAATTGATTTTTATCGATGAAGATGAACTCATTTGATAGTTGATTATAGAGATAGAAGTTTTTTTTTTTTTTTTTTTTTTTAGATTTTATTTTGAGTAGTTACATTAGTTTTTGTTGGCATCTTCTCTCTTGTTTTTTTGATTGTTTATTTTAAAGAGATACTTGTCACTTCGTAAATGTCATGTATATATATTGATAAAACCACAATTTCTATTTTGCTACAACCAAATCAAGAAAGGAAACGAAAAAAAAAAAAACATAGGATGAGAAGAGTTAGAGAGAGCGAGGGAGAATGGCACTTATGTCGATTACGAGAAGACAAAAAATGTCTAGCTGCTATTCAGTCATAAACTAAGTAAAAATTGAAATTGGTATTTATCCATACATTTTTTTCTCTTGCTTTCCTCTTTTTTTCTTTCTTTTTTTCATTTTCTTCTTTTTTTTTTTTTATTTTCAAATCGTTTTATTGTCTTTTGTCAGTTACATTCACTTTTGTCTATAAAAGTCATTTATTATTTTATCATTCTCTTTCGTCACGCTTATATGAAAGTCCCTTTATATATATATAAATATAAATATATATATATATATATAAGACTCGTGGGGATGAGAGTAACGACATCATCACTATAAAAAAACGACAACAACAAAACGAGAATAAGAGAAGAGAGTGATAGTAACTGTGAGTTTTTCTATATATCTATATTTTCATACACTGTTATGTCTTTCATTACAGAGTTACATTGCTTGAAGCACTAGTTGCAGTTGCAATGATGGTGGATATGACTTTTTTTGCGCCTTTTTTCCTCTGGTTCGACCTTGATTGATTCTATCTCTGTTTCACACACATACGCACGCACAGTGTCGAGAAGAGAACATTTTTTTTTTTATTGTGTTCTGTTGTATGCCGACGGTTGCCACTATCGTTCGGCATACTACAATTCAATTGCGTTTTCTCTTTTACTGTTAGTTTTCTTCTTAATGTTGACATATATATATATATATATATATATATGTTTCAGGCTTCCATCGATCATCACATCTACAGAAATAAATAATCATGGTCGACAATACATCGTCGTCCGAGCAGACAGTCCGCGATTGTGAAGCTTATATTGCAAAACATGATATACAAAATTTATTACGTGACTGTATTGTTCAATTATGTTTAAAAAAACCATCAAATCCAATACAATTTCTTGCTGATTATTTTGATAAACTTGGTAATCAATCAGCATCATCATCAACAACAACTAAAAAATCAACAATGCGTCAACAACAAACAGCATCCCCAACTGAATTAACAAGTAAACAACAATCAACAAATGGTAGTGTTGCTGGAGAAAATGATGATCTTGCCGATTTAAATGAAGCAACTGGTGGTAATACAAGTACTCATCAAAATCAAATAACAACAACTACTTCTGGTAAAACACGTGAACGTCGTGGTGCAGTATCAGCTGAACCCTATAAAGAAGAAGATGCAACATCATATGTTAAAACTGTTATACCAAAAGATTATGCAACAATGCAAGCATTAAGTAAAGCTATACAATCGAATTTATTATTTTCACATTTAGATGATAGTGAAAAATCTGATATATTTGATGCGATGCAACCATTTAATTATAAAGCTGATGAAACAATAATTCAACAAGGTGAAGAAGGAGATTTTTTTTATATTATTGATCAAGGTGAAGTTGAAGTTTATGTTAATAATAAATGTGTCACAGCTATATCTGATGGTGGAAGTTTTGGTGAATTAGCACTTATTTATGGTACACCACGTGCAGCAACAATTAAAGCTAAAACTGAGTGTAAATTATGGGCTATTGATAGAAAAGTAAATATTTTTGATGTTCTTTTTCTTTTTAATCAAAAAAAAACAGAAAGTTTATAAGAAAATTTTCTTCTTGTTTTTTTTTTCTGTAGACTTATCGACGCATTTTAATGGGTTCAACAATTAAAAAACGTAAAATGTATGAAGAATTTTTATCGAAAGTTAAAATTCTTCAAGAACTTGATCAATGGGAACGTTTAACTGTAGCTGATGCTCTTGAACCTGTACAATTTACTGATGGTGATAATATTGTTGTACAAGGTGAAAAAGGAAATGACTTCTTTATTATTGTTGAAGGTAAATATAAAAAACAGAATTTTCTTTTTTATGTTTTTCATAACTAATTAAAAACATATAACTGTTTTGTTTTTTTTTAGGTACTGCTATTGTCTATCAAAAACCATCGGATGAAGAACCAGCTGTTGAAGTATCAAAATTAGGTCCCTCGGATTACTTTGGTGAAATAGCTTTACTATTTGATCGACCTCGTGCTGCTACAGTCAAAGCTAAAGGTCCATTAAAATGTGTTAAAATGGATCGTAATCGATTTGAACGTGTACTTGGACCTATATCGGATATTCTTAAGCGTAATGTTGCACAATACAATTCTTTTATTAATTTGGCTGTTTAAAAAACAACGAACAATATTACATATATATAAATAGATCTATCATATAGTTGAGAGAAAAAATACCAACATTTTCTTTGTCTCTATGTTTTATTCCTTTCGTTGTCAATCGTGCGTTTACGTTCTTTCTTTAAAACACAAAAAACTATCAAGATTTGCATGTCTTTTTTTTTTTTCTTCTCTTTTACGTGCCGTTTTCTTTTATTGCTTTTTCTTCTCTCTCTCTCTCTCTCTCTTTTGTCTTTTTAAAAAAAAAAATCTTAAAATATATTTGCGTATTACTTGATGTTTCGTATTTTCTCTAATTTCAGTCTGTTTAGATGATTATTCGATTTGTTTGTTTATTATACATTATTTTATTCATTGATATAGTATATTCATCAATGAATAATAAAAAAAGTTCTTCTATGTCAGCTACACGTCGTCGTCAATTAGATGAATCCTTTCGTCGTTTAACTCGACAATGTGAACAAAAAGATTCATGTCAAAAATATTTACCAACAATATCATTGAAAACTGATAATTTATTAGAACAACAACAAAAAGAATTCGCTGAAATAGATATGATTAATTGTGTACGTCGATGTATATCACATTTATGTTATAAAGATATTTATGAAAAAGATCCACTTGAACGTGGGGAAATTGATGTTAGATCTAATCAATTTAAATCATGTTGGATTAAAGAACAAAAAGAATAAAAAAAAAAATTTATTTATTTGTGTTTAATACTTAATATTGAAAATTAATTTCTAACAAATGAATGAAATGGTAATTGTCTTTTTTCAATTATTGAAAAATATATGATTTTGACTATTATAGAAAATATAATTTTCAAAATATTTTTATTAGTGAAAATATATTTCCAAATTTGATATTAAATATCAATAAGTTTAAATGGATTTATTTAATGAAAATTCATTCGATTATAAGAAGATATCATCGAAATTTATATGACTCAGTAAATATGTTTATCTTGTATTGAAAACTTTTCTTATTCGTTATGTGAATTGTAAAAAAAAAAATATTTAAAAATTTTATGTTTGTCTTTATGTTGAATAAGAATTGTTATTAATAATTCATGAAAAATAATTTTTTGTCAGTTATTAATGATGACAGTATCGTATTATAAATTTTATCCTAGGTATATAAATCAAATCAATCAACACTTTAATGCTATGTGAGAAACAAAAGAGTGGTGACTCTTCGAAAGCTGGGTTGACCTTTGAAGAGATTGTAGTTATTATGATATGTACTCTTATTTGTTCATGTTCGGAAAATTTACTGTATGCCTCTCTAGAAAATAAAATTTGAATAAGATATTGAAATCAATAGAGCTAATCAAGTTGTTTTGTTTCTAACTTCATTTCAACATGCTTTGTATTCATTTCTCTAATTGAATTTATAAACCGATCAATATGAAGAATAATGGTTTAATCAAATGGATGCTAGAGGGAGCACAGTTCCTTCACTAACGATTGAGTTTCGTTTACAAAAGAGTTTGAATCCCCCTGTGGGAGCGTTACCATAGGTCTTTCTTTCTGTAAAGATTTAATTAGACGGCTGAGCCTTCTTCACAATTTTTTTTTTCTGATGACGTTACACTAATGAAGAAGTATTCAAATGTGAATAACTTCTGTTCATTTGAGTGTAAACATTGCATTGAATATGCTAAAAATATATTTTATTTCTAGCAGAATTTTTAAAGGATCATTGAAATATTTGAGTAATGAACCTTAATAAATTATGTCAAATATGTTTACCTATTATTTCATCGAAATAGCATTAAATTTCAAGACTCTATTTTTTTTTTCTCGTTTCATATTACTATCGTTATGTTGTGCATTGTAATATTATTTTCGATATGTTTTGTTGTTATTATATAAATTTAATTTAACTATAAATAAAATTTAGATATGCTCGATATACAGTTTCATAACATAAAAACGTGAATTGTATATTGATATATCAGAATAACATATAAGTAAAACATTTTTAATAATATACATGACATTTTCTTTTTATTGATGATTGTTAAACTATTGAATTTTATATTAAAAATAAAGAAAACAGAATTTCTTGTTTCAAAAACGAAGAAATTTTGTTAAATTTTATAAAAATTTTTTTTTTTTTCTTTCTTCATGGAAAATTAAAAAAGAGAAAAGAAGAAATAGTAATATTATATTCTATATTTACTTAAATTTTTTTTTTTATTACTTGATTTTATTGAAATATAAAGATAAGATACGATGAATGGTGTAGAGAAAATTTAACACTTGTTATTTATTAGTATACTTGAAATAGGTATAAAATCTTTACTTCATAAATTGAAACTTTTTATAATAATATAAAGTCGTAATTTGTAATAAGTAGAAGTAAATATATAAAATGCATTTTATGTCATCACTTTAATTTTTTTATTGAAATGAAATTGATCTATGATGAAGAAATATTTCAGACAAGAAAAAAGAAAAAAATATTTAAAATAAGATCATTGTTTTCAACTTAAATGGGCTGTTTGATCTTTTTTGGAAAATATCAAATAAATAAAAGTACTTTAAAGTAATAGTTTGTATAATGGAGTTACTTCCGATGATTATCATTATGATGAATTCATGTTTTATTGTGAATAAAGATGACATTTCAATAATAGATAATTTTCCAATATATATATGTCATATTCTCAAATTTTTTGTTAGAAATCTATTTTCTGAATGAAGAAATCTTTTGTTTTATTTATTTCATACTTGGCCTATTCTAGAGTCAAATATTGGTCTATTTCACTAGATTTAGTCAACCGAATAATGGAAAACAATTCTATTACATTTCTTCGTCATCAATTATTATTATTCACTTTTCTAAAATTAGACGATTCAACAAAATAACGAGCAAATTATACTTTTCTTCAATCAGAAAAGTAGAGTAATTTCTTTTCTTTTTTTTTTTGATCTTTAAACAATTTCCAAATAGCTATTTAATATATATATATAAAGAAAGAGTTGAAAAGGAAAACTATTTAGAAACCTTCTATAACTTTTGCAAAAAAAGAACACTTTTTACAATGATGAAATCTAACAAAGAATGCATTAAAAATTCATCTTATAGGTCTTTGATCTGTCAAGTATGTGGAGATGTAGCACGAGGTAATAATTTTCAAGTGATAACATGTATGTCATGTAAATCATTTTTTCGAAGAAATGCATTTCAACCATGGGTAAATTACTTTTTTTTGTATTAAAATTTGTTTCTTGAAATGTATATAATGTATATAGGGAATATTACGTTGTCCCAATCATTATAACTGTATTATAACACAAAAAACACGTATTAAATGTCCACCTTGTCGTTTGAAGAAATGTTTTGCAGTTGGTATGAATCCAAATTTAATTCGTTCTGCTCATCAACATCAACTTATTCTTAACAATTATCAACAATCATTGTTCAAGAATAAAAATAAAAAATCATTATCAAGAGTAAGTCCAATCATCAATTTAATTTTTTTTTTTTGAATTTTATTTTCAAATTTTGTTTCATAGTTTCAATTGTTGAGTCTTCTTGAAAATGATACTTCAAATTTATCATATGAACCATGGTCAATATTTTCAAATGTAATTCATCATTATAATCAAATAAATTCGATCTTTAATGATAAGACAATATTTAATAAACAATCATCTTTACCACCTAAATTACGTTTTAAATCAACAAATGTATTTAATATGATCGATTCATTCGTTCAAAATAATCAACCGACAATTGAATATTCATCCCAATTACAACAATTGTCTATGGATGTTTGTCAAGAAAAATTTAAGCATAATATTTCTAGTACTAATAATCTACACGATATTTTTACTAGTTATAAAACAAATCTATATAGTGATTCAGTCTTCTTTTCTACTCGTAATGAATTGTATGGATCTGCTTGTGTTACTGAAATGATCTCAATATGTAAACAATTGGAACCAAATTTATCATTTGTTGAATTGATGATATTTGTTTTAAATTTTTCAAATAATTTTTCAATTATTACTTTTGATGAAAAAAATAATATTGGAACAATGTCAAATTCAACTGATTTTATTCATACTCAACATATACATGTAACTATATTGTGGAAATATTTTATTAATCAATATGGTTTTATTGAAGCTGTTCGACGATTTAATAGTCTAATTAAAAGTATATTACTTATTTTTCATATTAGTGAAGATCTTTGTCAAAATAGAAACAATATGAACACATAAATAATATATGTGGGAAAAAAAAAACATACTGTATTTATTGACTATTAAAAATTAAATCATTAAATAATATATATGTTCGAATAATTTTGTTTTTATTCTAATTGTATGTAATGAAAAAAAAAAAAATATTTTTTTTTTAAGATAATCCTAAAACTATTGTTGTATATTGATTTTCGTTGTTAATGTTGTGTAGTAATATATTTTGTCTCAAATTAAAATTACAATGAACTATTGCGTATTAAATATAAATTGTAAAATTTGATATCATTTATTGTTAAAGAGAAAATTCTCGATCTTATTAAACATTTAAAAAAAAGAAACACGTAAATAAATATTTCGATTTTTCTAATAATTCTCCGAAAAAAATAGTTTTAGCAAGTGAAAACCGGATATAGATTACAATCTATTTTCAATTATGTGCACTTTATTTATCAAATATTTTAGTGTCAGTAGACTGTTCTACTGAAATACTGATTGTAAGCTACTTAAACTAAATGATCTTTGGATTAGAGCTGATTAAGAAAATTAATTTTCTATCTAATTTTACTTGATATATCTCATTTTTGGTATCAAATCAATTTGAATTTAGAAGAGATTATAGACAAAAATAATTTGAGATTGATATAGTAATTTTGTCCTTTACAAACTATCTTACATTTTACGTAATCATATTTATTTGGAATAAAAATATGAGCATAATAAAGACTCTACTTCATCTTGATAACGATAAAAATATAAACAACTTGACTATATCAAATGTTCAGGTTTACAAAAAAGAAATTTTCCCCTGTGATAAAAACTGGCAAAAAGCGGTGGTTTTATCGGTTCGATTTTTGTGATATAGGTCTCTTATAAATGATTAAATATTGAAAAACTTCTCACATACAAAACAAATATTGTGGAGCTTCAAAATTACCAAAATTTTCGATATAGCGTCCAGAAGTATTAATATATGACATACAGAGATTGATCGAAAATTGTCACGAGATTTCAATAATAATTCTTAAGCGACGAGGAAAATTTGAAAACGATTAAGAGCTACCAATCTAAAAAGATAATGCAAATTACGGTAATTGTTACTACATGGTAAAGAATTTTCATAATTACTAGAGAATTGTAACAGATCGTAGAAATTTGACAAATTACTTTAAATATTTACAGATCTATGTGAGTAGAGAATTCTATCGGGAGAACAGAAGTCATTTTCTGAAACTCCAATACTTACTGTTTGATGATACTTTACTAGAAGCAACATTGAAAAAAAACATAAACAATCATATGAAGACGTATAGATAAATCAGGACAGAAACATTACTTTTGATCATGTCCAATTTCTATAGAAAAATTTTCTATTTTATCTTTTTTCCATTGTCATTATGAAATTCATTATATTTTTGGTATATTATTTCAACATTTATCAAAACTTGATAATTTAGAGAATTTCTAAGATAATCTAATTTAGATATTTTTTAAGCGAATTTAATTATCATTATTTGTGTATCAAAATAGATAAATTGAATATTCTGTACGAAGGAATGCCATCGGAGAAATTACTTTCGGCTCAATATTTTATTATCGTTTGGAATATTTTTTGAATATGACATTAAAAATCAGTCAACATGGCTCAGTGTCTGTATAGTTTGACAAATATTTACAAGATACTGTGTTCAAACGTTGACTAGTAACGAACAACTGTTTGTCTTGAATCACCCATCCAATAGCATGCTGACTAAGTTCTTTATATCTCTAACTCTTCATCAGGTAGATCTTCTACTTAGAAGCATAGCTAGTATCAATTGTAGGAAAGATATCGAGATATTGGATTTGTCACTACGCAGCACACTGTATCGCAAGTTAATCGAAAGGTAGAGGTAGTTTTCCTTCCTTAACGACTTCGTCAGATTGTATCTTTGCATTCTAACAACTTTTTCTTTAGCAAGATTTATCCTTAAAAAGTTCAAAAAACAATCAAAAACTATGCCAACTATCTTGAATTTAATAAAAGACTACACAAGAGATTCTTTTGAATATTTAGCATAAAAAAAATAAGGAAAGATTTTGTCAATACAAGAACCATATAATAATGGCTTATATCTAATCATAAACTTAGATTATAACCGCTCAATAATTTGCGATATATTTTTTCATAATTGTTTTTCATTTTCGGTACTTTTTCGACGTTTTTCAACAATGAATGATGTTCTTTTTCTCTGATTAAGTGAGATAGTTGAATAATGTGCCCTAAACTATCGTCATAGTTGTCCTTGAGTTAGACGATACCGACTGTTTTAAGTTGAAAGATCGCTATGCAATAGTTTGTGTGAAATTTTACACATGGACCAGATATTTCGCGATTCTATGATAACTATAAATCTGTAATCTATTATAAATCCTTGTTTGTGCAATGTTTTGTTATTTGAAATAATTTCTCGTAGCTTTTATGCAACTATTTGAAGAGTCAGAATAAAAAGTGCAAATACCTTGTGCTACAGCTTCTCTTTCGTCATATGTCATTTTTTCACAAATGGAGTATAATGGAGAGTCGTATCTCTATTGAAAGAGAAGACAGCAGGCTATCAGACGATCTCCAAATCTTCGTTCTATCATGTGCTCGTTCACGAAAAACTGACATCGATATGTTTTTATTTCTTTTGCAGCTCATATTAGTTTCACACTGCGACATATTTCATTTTCTTTACGTATGTGGTAAAATACAGGCATCATCAAGTCGAAAACAGACAAAAAAAAAGCATGAGTGATGAACAACGTAAGATAATAAGAATTCTTCATTATTTGACTCATCCGACTAAATTAGTTGAAGTATAATTCCGAAGAGTGATCGATGACATAAAATATTGTTGATATTATTTCCTAAAAAAATGTCTACAAGTATTGAAGAATATTTTTCAATTCAGTCTTTTGATTTCTGATATTATGGGGTTAATAAAAAGACTTTTGAATATTTTTTTTTAGCTATCATTTGTTTGAGAAAATTTTACCATCTCAAAATAGAGCTGAACAGATGTGGCAAATATTTCATTCTCGATCTACAATTGTGTAGCGTTGGTCAAAATTAGTATCAATACATGGATTTTCTCTACATAAAATTTTTAAACCTTCAAATCAATAAATTTATTATGTTTTCAAATAGGCAATGAATTAAAAGCATATTTGAACAAAAATTTGCATAAATACACTCAATAATAATTGAACTCATGTAAAAAGGGTACCGGTCCCAAGACGCATTGTTCTCAAATGTATCAAATTTGAAAGAGTTCCATTACAGTTATCGGTAATAAAATCGACAATAAATAGTACATATTGAATATTACTGTAAGTACGAAGCATAACATGGGAGCTAAACCTTTCGATAGATAACTAATACGATGATTGATAATAATCAATATTTCAATCGATTGAATGAGATAAGTAAAGTGCCAGTTATTTCAAATGATTATTACCAGTACTCATAATAGAACAAAGCAATCTTGACTGAGATTTTTATTCTGTTCATAATAATTAATATTAATTCGTCCAATAAATTTATCATTTGGACAGCATGTCCTATGAAAGAAAAGCTATCTACAGCTCTTAATTGATCACATATTCATGCATGGTAAATAGTTAAGCATTGAAACTGGAACAGACGTAACCATCTATATATGTATGTGTAGAGTTGTGCTAGATGGATATTATCTATATACGAACCAATCATTGATGATTAATCATTCATACGAAGACTGTTTAATTAAAAAGGGAGAAAATGAGACCGTTGATCTATAATGTTCGCTATGAAATAGATCTTGTTGATTTCGAACATGTTCAATTTTATAAATGATCAACAACAGCACTAGAAATTAAAGAATAATTACTATCATTCATGCACCTATTGATAAATGTGCACTGATGTAATTTTCATACAAATGTTTTCATCTTAGAATGAAACTCGAAGCAGTGTTTTCAATATACAGTCTCTCAAATAAAAGCAAAGTACTCAAGATACTGACGCCTTTGAAAAAATACTGTGTTTTACACTTAACTGACAAAAACAAAATATTGCAATGGTACTGTATATAGCAGAAAAAGCACTTTGTCTGTTTGTTGTGGCATTATTGACAAGTTGCTCGTCTTATCCTGGTGTATATATTTTAATGACAGATGAAGTGACGAAGTTTTTTTTTTTTCTTATTTTAGATTTTCAATATTATCTCTTATACGTATTTTCTACAATAGTTTTTTCTAGAATGTATTAAAGTCGGAATTTGACTCGAATCAACTTCATGATCTAGAGATAAATATCCTAACATGTATGGACAGAAGCAATAAGAATTACTTAAGATAATAATTTCGAAAATAATACAATAGTCTAAGAAAAAACTTTCCTTTTTATCATGAAAAAAAGAAACCATGATGAAACTTAGAGGATGTTAAAACTCATAATAAAGACCTAATAGTTACGAGATTTATAAAAAAAACTGATTAAGAATATTTTGCTATAAAAAATGTTTGAAAAGAAAATAAAGTTAAAGAATATTCTGACAATAATCATTGAAATAGAATTTATCAATAACAAAATCAATAGTACTCAAATTGGAATCTCTTCATGATTTGATGAAAAATTTTTGAATTAATGTGAAATTTCGAACTGTGATAATTTCAGTTTCATTTCAGAAACATAATACATTGGTTTCTTGGACTGTTGACCGTAATACATTCTTATTTTTAAAAGCTTTTGAATAAGATTTTTTCATATCATATTTTTAAGTATCAAGATATACTTTCCTGAAACTCTTACTACAAAAATATTATTAGATATAGTTTTGTAAAATTATTTTGTATTTGATTCTAAAATGAAATTGCATAATGAACGTTTGGTTTTTTTTTTCTTAATTCTTCTAAATATACTTTTGCTAAATGAGAAAAAAGTAATTTTAATTATTTTGAGTGGATATTTTTATTTTCTATCATTATTTTTGCGGATATTGATGAGCGAATGGATG